TGGTTATTAAGACTGTTTTACCAACTTGGGAAGGGGTAGATATCCCATTTTTACTATGGTTCACAGACATGCCACTGCCTATATTCAATGAGACTTCATCTCTGAGTGAAACTTTGTATTCCGAGGCACATGGAGCTTTGGGGAAAAAGAAAAAAGAGCTTTTCTCCTCCTAGAGTCAGTACTGAGATTTGGACCCTCTCCCAAAGTCACACTGCTCCAAAGGGGCACAACTGAACTACAATCAAGGCATTCCTGCCATCTTCAGGAATATTTGCACGGGATCTTCTGACCAAGAATGGTCAAAGCCTTTATCAACTTTCTAAGGATGAATTTAACCTAAAAATAAGGTAGAACCTCAAAATGACACAGCTCGATGTCATGAATTTAAAAATGTCAGGAGTCAAAGTCTCCCCAGTTATACGCCCTCACATTACTAGAACCCAATAAACGAGGTTCCCTATCACTTGGTCCAGGTGAGCAGGTATGTGCAGCCTAAAGCATACCTTCCTCTACCTGCTCTGATGCAGTTACCACACTAGCTGTCTTAAGGTATGAATGCCACCAATTTCACGTTTCCCTCACTTCCCAAATGCTTCCAGAAGCCTACAGCTCTTCTTTTATGTATACCCTTTTGACTTAAAATATACATCTGAGCATCCAAGACAAAGTTCATCTTTCCTCAGGCACACAGAAGTCCTGCAAAAACATATGCCCTACCCCCTCATGAGGGCCAGAACTTATATGCCTCTATCCTCTGGCTAGCTTTCTCTCAATTACTTAACCTTGGCCTCACACATGGACACATGCACATGCACATACATGCACACCAGGTTAGCTGTATGCTCACAGTCCAGAAAACATCAAAGATTACCAATCGCTCCCATCCCTCATCTTCCCTGATCACAGCTTCTCCATCACCAGCTCCACGTATTAAGTCTCATTCCTGCTAGTGAGTAAGTCCTGCACATTCCCAGAAACTGAATCCTCCAATGTGTCAGGACCTGCACTCTGACCTGAATTGCAGCACCCGCCCCAAATCGCCAGCCTACACCCCCTACAGGAAACAGTAACACCCTTCAGCTGCCTCCCCAATACACAAAACCATACATCATCCCTATCTTTATGCCCCTTTTTCACAACACAGATACATTTCAAGTCAGCTTCCCTTTGGCCCCCAAGATCCATAAACATCTCTAGAAACGGAATTATAATTCTTAAAGAAACCTCAACTAGCACTGAGCTCTCTTCATTTCTCTTGGCAAAACTGCGGCAGTCAGCTGAGTCTGAGGAGGATTTTTTCCAGGGCACTGTGCTATGCCCCAGGACCCAGCAACGTGCTCAGCATCCAGTAGGCATTCCATAAATGTTAATTAATAATCAATATAAATTGGTAACAATGAATCCCTCTATTAAATGAGAAACCTATCATCCAACATAATACAACACGCGTCTCTGCCATCAAGCATGCAAAATAGTTCCCCCCACTCACTCCAATCTTATGGAGACATCCTCCCTGATCCTCACCTAATGCCAACACACAGGACTTTCCTCCTTAAATGTACACCCCTCATTCTAAGCCTTCTCCAATTACTTCCTCTCTGGGGAGGGTAGGTAAGAGGAGAAGGCAAAAACCAACCCAGCATCCTTGTCTGCAAATGCCTTGTTGCTCCATAATGAGTGTCTGAGCCCATACTTTCCTATCCCCGGCATATCCCAATGCCATTCCAGCCAAATTTCCCCATGCACTCATAAAATTCACACTCTGCCCTGCAAAGAGAATCACACCCGCCCCCCCATCCCTTTGGTAATCCTCAGGAGCCCAACCTTCCAGACAGTCCACCTTTCACTCCTACCCACAGCCACCCTCCCCCGCCACACCCACTCCATGTGTCTGTGCAGGCATGCACAAGCCATCTGTCTTCAACACACTGTACCTCTCCTCCTGCTCTGACACCCTTCACGGGCACAGATTTCTCATTAGCTACACCTATGTTCCCACATGCTCTCATCTCCTGCCAGTCACACGTATGCCCATCCAACAGACGCCTCAGAAACACACACCTCCACTGCACATAGAGGAAGGTGGAGTTCTGGCTCTCTCTGGCCATCTGCAATGCACACTCCGGTGCAGAGACTCTCCAGAAACCTCCTTCCCTGACCACACAGAGCACCCAAGGGCCCCAGATCTCCCTCCAATAGGAAACCAGACCCCAGTCACACAGAACCCAATCCTCCACAACCAGCTGCAATCCAGTCCTCAAGAACGCAAATTCTCACACACTCCTTGCTGCAGGCCTGCAGACTTGCTATTTTCTTCCAACACGGTCACAGAGCTTGCTTTCTTTTCATCGCCCCCCCAACTCCCAACACCATGCCCCAGTCTAAGTGTATGAGCTCTCCAAGGCAGAGGCGGTTGGATTTTGTCCTCTCAGTTTTACCTCTCAACTTTCCTTGTGCAACAGGTCAGGAAGGAATTGGGGGCTGCAGGGGGGAGGCCAGCTGAATATGCTGGAGAATTTCTGAGTGTAGGGAACACAGAACAGATTGCAATGTGCCCTCTGTTACAACTTTCTGCCCTCCTGACGTTTAGGACAGAGGGCTTAGATATTTTTCTTGCTCTAAGCTCTGGAGGCTGGGAGGGGGAATCTCTTTCTGAAAAAGCAAGTTGTCCAGCATATTCTCTCATCGGTGAATTTTAAACGTGAGGCTCCAGGAGTGACACCCACCTCCGTTTGGGCCACCCCTCCAACTCCCGCCCCCAGCTCCTCGCACACATAAACAAGTCCCGCTGGGCGAGCGCCGTGCCCCAGCTCTCCCGCGCTGAGCCCTGCGCTCGGGTGGCGCCTCCGCTCAGACTCTAAACCTGCCACCCACCGCCAGAGGTCGAAAGGAGGCGGTCTAGTTCAGCGTTTTCCTCCACCTGGAGTGCCCCCAGACTCGGGGAAGTGGGGAGCGGTCCCTTAACAGTTGGCAGCTCCAACCCGGTTCCGTACGAGGGTCTCAGTTCCGTGCCTTGGCAGCGCAGCTGAGGAACGCAGCAGCCAAACTCCCCCCAAAGCGGCAGCAGCACCTCGCCGCGCACCCACTTGCCCCCGAAAGCAACGAGCAGAGTCCCCTCTCCGACCCTCACCCCTCCTTTCCCCGAACCTTCAATTCCCAAGCGTCCCAGGCTTCATGTGGAGTGTGAGCAGCGCTCTGGGCAGTGCGGTAATTTGGCCCACTGGGGGTCCTCTGGACGCCCACCTAGCTCTGCCGGTCCCCAGTCTCCCGGCCTTCCCACACCTCCGACTCAAATTCCTAGGGCTGGCCTGGAGAGGACGCAAGGAATTCCCCGGGGACGGCCGGTCGGCGAGCCCGTCGCTCCCCCGCGGGGTCCCAGATGCGCGGGCTGCGCGCGGAGCTCCAACATCTGCGCAGAGACCCCGGGTGGGGCTGCGGCGGGGTGGGCGCTGGCCGTCGCGGCCCCGGGTGCGTGGCAGTGGCCGGGAAAAGCCTTCGGGAGAGGCAGGGTGCTCCGCGACAGGTACGCCGCCGCGCCCGGCGAGTTGCAACTTCCCAGTTTGGGGAGCGCCGAGTCCCCTCCCCCAGCCCTCTCCCGGGCCCGGGGCGGGGGAGGCGTGCGGGGAACCCAGCGCTGCGGGGAGCGGGGCGCCGGGCGCGTGCCGGGGACCCCCGGCGGCACGCTCGCCTGTTCCCCGCGCGGGATCTGCCTGCCACCCCCTTTTGTTACAGGATGCGCGGGGAGCTCTCCTGCAGGAGCAGGCGGGTGTGTTGGTTGGGGGTTGGGGGGCGGTTCTGCTGAATCCCTCTGCCCTTCCGTCGTCCCTATTTCCCCTCGCCTCCGCCCCCACTTCCAATCCAGGTCCCTTAAACCTGATCACTTTCCCAGATTCTGGGCGGTTTCTCTGGCAGCCGGGGGACGGGAGCAGAGGTGGGGAGGAGTGTGCGTGTGCGTGTGTGTCTGTGGTGAGGAGGGGGTGGCTGCGGTTGCGCCTCGGCCGGGCAGATCCCAGCGCAAACTTCGCGGGAGGCACGAGCCCGGGAAAGTGAGCGAGCGCCGAGCGATGGGGGTGGGGGCGGAGTGCAGAGTCGGGGGCCCCCGCGCCGGTGCACCGGCGAACCTCCCCCACTCAGGCCCTCACCTCCGAACCTGCCACCCAACGCGCCCGCCTCCCCTTACCGTGGCAGAAGTAACCATGGCATCCGTGTGACTGTTTCCAGGGACGTCGACATGAAGAGAAAGGTGGACACGACCTCGGTCATTCAAAGTCCCCCCCACCCCGCCGCCGCCACTACCCAGCAGGGGGGGAAAAGGGAAGAAGAAAAAGAAAGAAAGGAAAGGAAGGGAAGGGAAGGGAAGAAAGTAGTTGCGCCGGGCTCTCCGGCGGGGCCGCGCGCGGAGCTGCTCGGTAGGGAGAGGAGCCTTCAACTCTGAGTCCCGTGAACATAATCTGCGCGGTTATAACCAGCCAACCCGGCCAGATGGCTCCGCGCTCAGCGCCTTAACCCCTTCGGCGCCGAGCCGCCCGCCCCCGCGCCCCGCCGCCGCGCGCCTCGCCCGCTTGCGCCCCTGCGCCCCTGCGCCCCTGCGCCTTGGGGCTGGGGGGCGGGCAGTGGGCCGACAGGGTCATTTCTTCTAGCCTGTCCTAAAGAAAAACACCAACAAACTTCCGAATTAATAGTATGCTGCAGGATCCCTCCTTTTAGAGATCCAGGAAAAAACGAAATATCCAACTTTTCACTACATTTTACATGTTCATGTCTTCAGCCTGTCTTGTTTGTTCCGCTTCTTTAAACATTTCTTTTTGATCTTCATTTTCCTTCCTTTTTATTTAAGATTTTCCTTTCTAGGCAGAAGGGCCTTTCCTGCCCCTTCCCCCTGGCGGCTTGGGTCTAATGTGCAAACTCCTCCTCCAAACCTTAGACCCTTCCAGCTCTAGATCTCTCCCCACCTCCTATCAAGCCCACCCGTCACTCCTTCCCCCACTCCACAGCACGAACACGCCCAAGGACTATCGCTCCCCAGCGAACTCGCTGCACTCAGGGACCAGTCCCCAGGACGCTGTGCAGGCGGTCAAGGACAGCGAGTCAGAGAGGTAGGGGACGGGGCTCAGGGGACCCAAGGACGGGGTGGCCGTGCGTGTGTGTGTGTGTGTGTGTGTGTGTGTGTGTGTGTTTGCGGGAGCGTGAACGCGAACGTGGAAGGGAGAGGGGGATGGATGGGAGACTCCCATTTGACCCAGACTCCTACTTCTAAGCCCCTTCCTTCCAAACTAGGATGGGGCCCTGCAGCTGAGCACCCGTCCAGCACCCACCAGTCTGCACGCAGGAGGCAGCGCGGGGAAGCAGAAAAGGCGAACCACAAGCAAACCTCTAAGGAGCCCTCCGAAAGTAGTGACGCTCACTCCCCCACCAGCAGATTATTCAAGGAAGGGATGGGCGGGAGGGGGGCAAAATCTCTTATTTCGCGATAATTTTAGCTGCCCATTAGACCCCACTTGTTCTGAGATCGTTCTCTCTAAATTTACCGAGTTAAGTCATCTTTCTTTCGTCCATTTGCCTTCGAGAGAAGTGAGGGGTTGGGGGGTGGGAATGTCGCTTCAGGGGTCAATGAAAAATCCAGAGCTTCTGAGTTTAGTTTTGCACTTCTGAGCCCCTGCTGCCCAGTTCTCTGGGCAGTGGCTTGGCCCACTCCATCTCTGAGCACCCCCCTCCCCCCTTCCTTCCTGCAGCCTCTGCCATCCCTCGGCCACTTCTCTTGCCAGGACCTTTTGACTCGCGCGATTGGGGGAGGGGAGCAAGTAAGTATCCCTTCTCGTCCCTGCCCTGCCAGTCCAGGTGTCTAAGAAGCAACCCACTCTATGTTTCAGCCAGGGTCCAGGTTCAAAAAAAATCCAAATTCCTTTGATTTGTTTGAGAATTTGGTCCAACACGGAGAAGCATCGGCACTGCGCCTACCAGATGAGGCCCAAGCAGCTGCAGAGAGAGGCTGCGGGTCCGAGCGTAGGTAGGAAGGGACGAGGAGTCGGGGGCTGCGTACTAGATAGATCCTCCCTGCCTCATCATTATCCTGGCAGATGGAGGCTGCTACATCGGAAACGGCCAGAAGCGCCCACTGAGGCCCAGCGGCGGCGCTCCCGCAGTCCCTGGGAAGACTGGGGTCCTCCTTCAGTGCCTCCCTGGTCCCCAAATGTCGAGGTCCTTCTCCGGACCACAGGAACCTGCCGAGGGGTTCCCTCCACTCGGCTCACAGCACCGGGAAGGTCTGGATTGGGCGTGATCTGCTGGGTCCTGGTTTTCTCCCTCTGCTCTGGCCCCCACTCCCTGCCCTCCCCCACTTTCCGCACTTCACCCCCACCTCCGCTGTCAAACGAGAGATTCAGGCCCAGTTTCAGCTCCACTGGTCAAGTTCTAGGCGCTCTTTTTTGGAGCTCCGGGTCCTCCGGTAACCCGAGGGTTGCAGGGAAAGAGGTGGTTGGCTCCTGCTGCAGTGAGGAACGGGTTAAAAACATGTGCGGGCTGATCCGCTTGCAGCTCCCCCGGTCACTGGCAGTCTGGCGGGAGGAGGAGAAGGAGGGGGGCAAACTTAAATTTGAAAAATCAGAAGGGAAAAAAAAAGAAGAAAAGGCAGCAGTGAGTTTAAGACCCGATTTGTTCCGCAGATGCCGAGCACGGACTGGCCGCCACAGTTTGCCAGGACCTAGGCAATCACAGGAAGAGTTTGTATTGTTTTCCAACAGGGGTGAGGGGGTGGGGGGCTGTCCTGCGCTGGTGGGTCCGTCTTTGCGTGCAATCAACACGCCTTGTAATATGAGAGGTGACACCTTAATCTTGCCAAATATGTATGGTGCCTTGGGGGTGGGGGGTGGGGAGGGAGAGGCTGAGGAAAGGAGAGAGGAAGAGAGCAAGAGAACCCGACAGAAACAGAGGGTAAAAGATGCATTTTCCTCACTTTTTTCCAAATGGAGAGTTCCTGGTCCTTCCTTTTGTGAAAGACCTTTTTTTTCAGACAATTTCTCCCTGGAGCAGGCAAGCTGCCTTTTCCTTCAGTTTTCCTTTCTACTTCAGAGCTAAAGATTCTCCTCTCCTACCTCAAAAATACTAGGGACTAATGCCCCAGGTCTCTCTATTGACTTTTAAGAGAAGCAATGTGATAAAAGAAGGCGGCCAGAAAAAGGAATAGAAAGCATGTGTATTTTTTTAAAGAGTAAAAGATTATTGTATATCATCATGTAATTAATTTTGGAACTGCAGAACATTTGGACTTCTAAGCAAATCCATCTTTCTAAATAGAAAAAGATCTTACTGGTGTAGATAGCTCAAGCAAAGAACAGAACTAGGAGGTAAGCCAATGAGTTCATGCCCCATAGACAGAGCTGGGTGTGGAAGTCCATCCAAGACAAGGTCTCTCCTGATGAGTCAGGTAATCTCCTTTCTCCATGCTGATTCCTTGGTCATGGCCTTGCATCTGTTGACTGTATTTTTAGGCTACTAAACTTTCTTTTTCTCCCTGCCCGGTCTGAATGTAAGGCCCTGACTCCTGAAAGTTGTTTGTGAGGGCAGGAACTAGATCCAGTGATTGAAAGCACCCTTTCAAAATCTCTCCTAAAGCAAATTTCTAGAGCGTGCCTTCTGCCCACCCTTATCTTTTGCAATAGCACCACTCTGTGGTTGAAACACTGAATAGAAACAAAATGGAAATGGAGTGAATTATGCCTTTACCTTATGAAAAACAGTATTGATCTACTGGATGTTTCAGTTAAATGGGCTCTGTGTTGGGGGGTGGGGGTGCTGCTGCTCAGCATGTGGCAAAGGAGGGGAATCTGTGCAGTAGCTGTGTGTGATTAATTCATTATGACATGGTGACCCAAGAAATGAGAGAATTGGGCTCGGTGGCCTCCAAGGACCCTTTCCTGCACGACCACACGTGGCCAAGGTTCTTTTCCCCAGCACCACAGAGTTCGCCTTGAATGTATGGCCTCTCCCATTGTGGCTATTACCCCCCTCTGCCTTAGATTGCTAAGCTATCCTCCTCACCTTAGCTGATCCTAAAGTGTTTGCAAGTTGCCTCTTCTGCTGCTGGAGGGCACTGTGGAGAGGTTTGCAGAATGCTTGCATCTACTTTCTTTTCTCCAATTTTAGTATATGTGCTGCCGAAGCGAGCACTACTTTTTTTTCTCTACACCATCCACTCCTACCCCCACTCACTCAGACAGCTGCTTGAGCTCCTGGAGCCCGAAAGTCTATGTTTCTGAAACAATTAAAGTGCCTGCCAAAGGTGTTTGCATAGGGACTGGGAATTTAAGGGCCCAGGAAGGCTGTGTGTTACCTTGGCTTCTGGCACTCAAACCATTCCTGGCTGCCCACCCATTACTACACCCATGGTAACTACGGCATTATTAACCAACAGCCACAGGAGCTATCCTGCCAATTAGCAACTCCACCCAAATGCCCTGAAGAGTCTTGGGAGCCATTCTTCTTTATCTTTTTCTTTTTTTGTGGGTGCAGATGTCTGCAGAAACTGAGTGACTTTATGTTTATTCAGCGAGCCCAGGTTTTCCCTGAATTGTTCATCATCTTGTGAAAGCCCAGCTTTGCTGCTATTAACACTGATCTCTAAACAAAGCAAAGAGACAGGTCAAATTCCATCAGTCTCTGTGTCCCTGCCACACATTTAATAGTTAAGGAAACCAAGGCTCTGGCTTCTCCATGAATATCCTTAGGGAAACAAACAAACAAAAATGTAGTAACAGACCAAGAAGTAGAACTCCTTGAAAGAATAGATCTTGGAATCTTATCAACCTACATTCCATGTCCCCTCCTTTACTGGTTGTTGTGTCTTTGACAGGTTCCTGAACTTCTCAGATGCTGTTCCTAATTGGTAGAAACAATGCCAACCTCATAGGAGTATTATGGAGGCCACATGAACGAATTGATTTAAAATGCCCAGCACAGTGCCAGGCACAATGGAAGCACCAGTCTAATAGTCCTCCTACCAGAAACCCTGCCAATCACGGTGGTGGGGGAATCCCAGCTTCGCTCTGGAATGTCGTGTTTGTTATTTGTAAACTGTCTTGAAACACTTCATTAATGTTCATGGTTATATATTTTTCCCTTGGACAAAGAGAAAGAAATGAGCAGATTTAAGTAGTGGATGTATTTAGAATTTATATGGTTTCCCAACATGGACCTCAGAAAGCATGAAAGGCATAGTTGAAGGATTTCAGCATCTCATCTTATTCATTCTTTGTCTCTAAAGCAGAACCACCTCATCACGTAAGAGGAAATTCCAACATGTCCTTCAACTTGTAACAGATTGCCTAGTCTATTACTGGTTTGTTGTTATTGCTAATAATGTTCTAGGGCTTACATTGAACAATATGATGAATTACATTGACTAACAATGGATCAACTCATTTTGTGAAATAGCATACATATTCATAATTATGTTTCAAGAAATTACCCATAATGATAGAGGGAAGGTATGTATTCCTACCACACAGGTGGATATTGAAATCATAATAAAGTCTCCTATTTCACCAGTCATGACATGAATTCCTCACCACCCTATAAATTAACTTTATGCTGCACCAAACTCCACTCATAAAAAAAAAAAAAAATGACATTAAGGTTTCCTAGGTAACTAATGCACTTCCAAAGGGAATAGGCCTCAGGAGACAAAGAGGGCAGGGAAAAGATGGGGGTGGGGAAGTGAAGAAAAAGGAAAAAAAAAACACCCTAGATTAGACGCATGTGACATAAACAAAATATTTCATGGGTAAGAACTCATAAAGTTTTATTGCCTGGGCTTGACATAGATATGGTACTGCCATTAATTCCATCTTCAGACAGTAAAATACTCAATAGGCGAGCCCTCTCATTAGGGATGCCAGCATTTCCTATTTGAGGTTCGGATTAACAAATGGTGAGAGTAATCCATCCCTTACATTCATCTGCCAAGCTGTGTCCACTCACCAGCCAGCTGTTTCTTGAGGCCTCCATGGTTGTATTTAGACATAACCAAATGTTGAGATGAATATGAAAAATAGGAGTTGAAAATAGGATTGATCTAGATGTTTCGAAATATGCAAATGCTTTCCATCTTACAGACGCTGGGAACACTGGAGCAGGTCTGTTAGCCTCAGGAGAAGGTGGCACCCCAGGATTGAATGGACAGGGTCCAAGGTCCCATTTCCAAAAACCCCTACTCCCACCTGGTGGTCTTTTCACTGTGGCTTCCTTCTGGGGAAGGGTCTGGATGCTAAAGAACACTTGAATGCTTAGGAAGAAATGGGAGATTGTAAGTGGAGCGTAGGCTTTAATTTATGCTATAAGAATTTTGAGCAGTTCTTAAAGACAGCGAAACCCAGAGAAGATCTATGAGCTGGAGACTGGAAGAATGAGAATGTGAACTAGCTTTGTCACTGCTCTGTGAGCTAGAGGAAATGGCTGAACTTTTCAGTTTGTTTCAGTTCATTGGTTTTTACCATGTGTTAAAGGGATTTAACCTCATTTTCTTGTATAATTGGAAATATAAGTAAGAAAACAAAAAAACCCACACACTAATTTGAATATAATTGGGAATTTTGTATTATCTGCTTTCCATCTCCGGTAGCCCCAGATTGATTGATGTCTGTAGGTGGAAATTCTAACAAGCCACAGCCAGGTGATTTCTCTGTGCAAAGTATGGTGAGTTTCCCTTGTGATTCCCATAGCGGAAGTGTTCCTGCTCTTTTCTACTGGGACAGTCATTGTTGAGTGCAGCCTGTGTTTTGCATGTTTGATGCCCTGGTGGAAAAGGGACAGAAGATGCTGGTTCATGGCTGGAAAGTTGA